TTATCTAATTTTGGTGAATATTTTTGTCATTTTTGGTAAAAAGTGATATTTTCGACTTCTTGTTAAAAACCAAAGGTTCAATTGCTTTGATATTACATATGTAGATACTACATGTAGACCTTTCTCAGATTTGTTCATTTCGTGATAATATCTTCAATTCTCTAATTTTGGTAAATATTTTTGTAATTTTTGGTAAAAAGTGATATTTTCGACTTCTTGTTAAAAACTGTAAGTGTGATTGCTTTGATATTACATATATAGGTACTACATGTCGACCTCTCTCAGATTTGTTCATTTTGTGATGATATCTTCAATTCTCTAATTTTGGTGAATATTTTTGTAATTTTTGATAAAAAGTGATATTTTCAACTTCTTGTTAAAAACTGTAAGTCCGATTGCTTTGATACTATACATATTGTTCATTTTCTAATGATGTCTTCAGTTCTTTAATTGAAATGTGCATTGCTGTCAGTGGAGCTATCTCAGCCGATAGGCTGCTTGTTATTAATATTTATTAAGGTTTTTTGTATTGGCCATGGAATTACACAGGAATGTTTTCTAATGACGTCAATGCGCACTGCGCTCGTTGTTTGGCTGGGTGAAAAATAAAAGGAATTGTTTTGTTGTACCAAGAGTATTTAATTTACAAGAAACTAATATAACGTTAAAAACTTTATTATGATATCTTTGATTAATTTCTCAGATGCCTTCAGCATGGACTCAAACACAGGCTTGATCACTGTGTCTGGTACTGGTATCCTAGACAGGGAAGAGCTGGATAGGCATACTTTGGTTGTCTTAGCAACTGATGGTGTATACATTGCAACATCTACTGTAACTGTGGCAATCTTAGACGAGAATGATAATTCTCCAAAGTTTGAAAAGTCTGTGTATTATGGAAATGTGACAGAGAATACATTTAGCAATGCTACTATATTACAGGTAAGCTAGTAACTTATTTTATTACAATGCCTCTTTAGATAAGTTTCTCAAAAATTTGAAAAAAATTGAAAAATTTGCTAAAAATATACTTGGATATTAATTGTATGTAATGGCATCAAAAGAAGATGTGCAAATTAAATTATGTTAATATTGTTATTTGCTATTAAAACATTCTTGTTGACACTCACAGGTGCTTGCTGATGACTTGGACATTGGTGCCAATGCTGATATAATTTACAGTATCCTGGCAACAAGTAGTCATGGTGATGATAGATTTTCTATTGATGGTGACAGTGGGGATATCTCAGTACAGAGCAATGCTGATTTAGACTATGAATTAGTCAGTAGTTATGTCATTACAGTACAGGCTGTAGATAATCCAACTATGGACACTCAACAAAGGTGATTACTATATGCTACTTTGTTTCTACTCATGAATTAAGTCATTCCAGAAGTGGTCAGTCTTAAAATACCCAAGTTTGCTTTTTTTCCTTTTGACTTTCGACCAGAATTCAATATATGTCATTTTTATATTGTGATAAATTTTATATTCTGTATCTAAAGAATTTATTGTAAAATGTGTATAATTTTCTTTTTTCATTTTTTAAACTGCCTTAACCCATGATAAATTGAAATCACGTTGTTCATAAAATGTTTTGTTTGAGAATTTTCTGGAATTTACATTATGATTTTAACAAAGAAACAATTTCAAAACATTCTGTCCAGTAAAAGTTGTCAAATGGTGATATCATTTATATAAATTTAAACTTTGTAATCCACATCATTTATAACTTTTAGTTTAATCCACGTTCCTTAAAAAAATTAATTTGTAATATTCTTTTAATAGTCTAATGGTAATTCATATTTTTTTTTTCTCAAGATCATCTGTTGTGACTGTGTACATTGATATTATTGACATCAATGATGTCATGCCAGAATTTGCTGACTCATCATATGTAGCTTATGTTAATGAAGCTGTTGCCATGGATACATCAGTCATTCAAATACAGGTACTCCTGAGCTGATCTTCTTAATGCAAAATATTTCTTGACTACTCTAGAAAAATTAACTCACTCCTTTTAATAATCGGAATTCTGTAATTGTCTGAAGTGTTTGTTGTTTATTTGTTTTTAGGTCAATATTTGTATTTTGGTTCATCCTTGTTTCTTATTTTTTTCAGGCCACAGATGAAGATACTGTGGGAATGCTTCAATACAGTATTG